CATTTAGTTTATGTGTGAAATAACTAAAAGGTGTACCTCCTTCCTGCCTTATAAAGACTTTTCTTTATATGAATGAAGTATGTATGCAGGAAGGAGTTCAACGAATGCTTCCATCATATCCAAATTTTACACCTTCATGTGGTAATATACTACTATAAGACTATTTTTCATTAACATTTATTGGCAATTATTAAAAATCGTAAGTTACTTTCATATAAAGGCTAATTCTGTTGCTCGAGAGTGGTCGTAAAAACGGTTTCATTTAGTGTATTTCCAATAACATTCATCCTTGGGCCGTCTTGACTAATGCGGCCTATAGGTTGGACATAAAAATTTCTGAACAGCCGTAGGACGGACTGACATGCTTAGCACCTGTAAAAAATTGGTATGCATCGATTGACATAGTTAACAGGTGTGTTTATCTCAAACTGTAACCCTGTAACATAATGCATCAAAACGGCTGACCTTTTCTCTGTTAGCAAACCTACCGAGCCAAAAGTGCTTCCCAACACCCTACTAGGCATGATTTACTATTCGTACCTTCCTCGTAATGATCATTCGATGTAACCCTTGAATGAACCCAATGCATGTGAAGTTCAAAATATTCTTCCTTTAAAATAGCACATAACCGATAACTTCGGAACGTATTCAGTAATCTGGCATTATTTTCTTCGCTCTTTACCGCTCGCTATTGCATAGCATAACGCGACATAATAAAAATATATCTGAGCGATTGCCAATCTTTATAAAACTACGCCGTTTTATTCTGCGCCTCCCCGTCTTTTATTTTTTAATAGATATAATAGGATTAGTATACAAATTTAAAAAATAAAAAAACGTTATTGCGCTTCCCTAGACACAGTTTCTCGAGATAGACTGCATTTGTAAACTTAGGGGGTAAGTTAAGTCAACGTTTTCAAATGATTAGATAGCAGAATGCTTACAATGATCGTAAATTGACGCCAGTGTAGTAATTGAAAGCAAAATTATTAAACATTCTGATCTCACTTGGCTTAACGAAGATTGGCCGAGAGAAGAAATTGATGATAGAAAAGTCTCGGCGGGATATCACCTGAAAAAGACCAAGACGGAAAATAGGAGACTTTTCTGAAAAACAAAAAAAAAAACTTTCTATCAAAACTAATATTTTCTCAATTTCTTCGGATATTGTTTAGGTCCAACTTCAGATGAATCTAGTTATGTAATTGGCAATTATAAAACGGATAACCTTTCAACGCAAAATCTCTTACAATTATCACATTTGAAGGCGCATCTATTGCATCAGAATTCTTTGGATGATGATATCATCATTGGGACCGTTAACAGCGGCATAGATAGCAACAAGTCTCAGATATCACCGACAGCTAAGAAAGATGTGAAAAATCTCATATTATCCGGTTCGAAAAGCATATTAGGGAAAATGTTATCCCCAACTAAAGACAAAAATACCATTAATGCATCACAGCATTCATATTTAAATAATACTGTACCGATTAACACTTCACCGCTTATCGAGGATAATGAGAACATAAATAACATGAATATGGGAGATAAGGCAGAAAATGGAATCATCAGTGCGAAAACTAAGGAAGATGAGCATATAAATCACAATGCACAACAACCAATAGCGCAACAACAGCAACAACAACAAAACAATACTGCAACAATAGTGGCACCGTCATCACCCACAAGTCTAGACGTTCACACAGCTAATGTAAGTTTTCATAAATAAAAAATCAAATGAAATAAAATAGAAAATTACAGAAAAAAAGCTATATACAAGGGAGTATAAATGTGTTCATATCCTTACATTTACTGCATTCATTTGTTTTAAAAAATTCATATCATTTTTTTATATTATTTATTATTATTATTATTATTACTTTTTTTTTTTAAGCTTTATTTTCTCTATTGGCTGCTTTTACTGTAGTATGGCTTAAGCTTCGTTTTGAGTTCTTTCTTATGATTTTTTTATAGAAAATTTTATCGCGTCACAGAGAACAAAGTGAAAAAGCACGTTTGATGATGGAGAAATTAAGAATTTCTCAAAACGATAAAAACATACATGACGTAAGTACGAATAAAATGGAAAAAAAATTCATCATTTAGGTTACTTTTAATTGTTTTTAAATGCTTTTTCCAAATTTTAATGTAAAAAGAATATTAATTTTTGTTCTCTAATTTCGATTTTTGTTCTTCTCTTCTATAGGAAGAACGACAACAACGCTTACGGGAACAAGCTCGCCGTTTAATACTCGAGACACGCCATAAATCCTCATTGGGATCCAATCTGGAAAGTCCATCGTCTCCAACTAAATCCAAACGCTACAATTTTTCATCGGAACGCACTATATCTCCTATTAATAATGGACCTGATGATTATGAGATTAACACATCAACGACATCAACCAATTCAACTGAACAAAATAATGGTTCTCCTAACGCGTCTTTAAGTCCTACAAAGAAAATAATTCCACTACGTGAAATCGAACATAGTAATAGTAAATCATGCCCTAGTCATAGATTAAGTAATGAGCAGCGCTTTACAAACGGCGACAACAGTTCACTGCAGTCATTCAATGCAGTAATCGAACGTATATCACCAAAGAATGAGAAGAAGGTCGGTTGATATAAAATTTATTACGTATGTCTCTATGATCATAACATTTTTTTACAAGTATTGCAAGCTAGGAAAAAACAGAGCATTCAATATATACCATCGAGGAATGACAATCTATTTATATATTTACTGAATATCAGAAATAAGCACAGAAGACATTATCAAATACACGCACTGTTAGTCCGTAAAGGGAGTTTGAATCTAAGCGGGGAAATTTCTATCCATTTTTCGTATACATAATAACTCAAAAAACTGAGATAGAACTTGTTAGATGAGTTATGTGCTTCTCGCAAAAAATGCATTTCAAAATAGGTTTCATACGATAACAAGCATTCTAGACCAAATATCTTGTAGATTATGAAACGTTGATGATACAATTCTCTTGATACTGCCTTAAGCACTACAGATGATTTGCTTTTATCTTATTTATTACACACTGTCATCAGTGCAAAGACATCCAAATGTCGCGTCATTTTCTTCGTGCGGTACGGTACCATCTTGACAATCCTAAGATCATTTCACAAACTCACGATTGTGATATGATGTCTTCATCAAAGACTTTTCTTCTTCGGTCGGTATCATCTTGACAATCCTAAGAGCATTTCATAAAGCCACGATTCTGCCACAGTATCATCACCAAAGATCTTTCTTAACATTGGGACGCTTTGTGAGATTTATCTTCTTTATTACTAGTCCACTAGTCAACTACAAAATAACTAGTAAGAAGAGTCGGCAAATCGCCACGTACCTCATTAACTAACGCATAAAGAAACGTTCTCTTGAAAATTGGCAAAGATCTCTTCCCAATTTCAAGAAGATGGAAGCTTTAAGAAATTGTCCCTTTCCTACCTTTACAAAGGTACAGAAGTCAATCCCAATTCTCGACAATGTACAAGAATGTGCATCAGTATCCCGAAATGTGGGGAAGTTTTCAAGAAGTATTTACATTACCAGTGGGATTTGAAATTTTGCAACAAATATTAGGTTAAAATATAACTTAAAGAATATTACTAATTTGGATCTGATGGTCGATATTCTGAAATCGCAGGAATTTTTCAGGAAGTATTACAATACCCGAAAAGTTTGAGATTCGACAGCAAATAATAATTTAAAATTTCGAAAGAATTTTACTGAAGCTAGTTCAATATCGGCATAATTTGGATCTGATCGTCCAGCTATGAAGCTCTACGAATTTAATAAATTTGATAGTGAATGATGAAGATTGAACGCAAATGAAATATAATCATGATTTTTTTTGTGTTTCTTTCTTTTAGTCCGACAAACTCTCCTATATTGAATCCGAATTGGAGGCTTTGGAACGTGAACAAGAGGCCATTGATCAAAAGGCTAGCAGTTTGGAGAAAAAATTACGAGCTGTTATGGGCGGTAAACCAAGTAATAATCGTTCAAGTCAAAATCCTTTCCTTAGATTAATACGCAATAGTATCGGTGGTGGTGAAACGATACGCATTAAATTGCTAGATTTTGAGAATGGTGAATTCTCTTTAACGCCCTCGGGTGATTCATCAGATTCATCAACGTCATCGCTATCGCTGTCTACATCCTCACTAAGCAGTAGAGATGATATGAATCAACATCATAATATCCATCAAACTAAACAAATAAAAACGAAACGTTCGCGTCATCCTTTATCGCATAGTATACGACGTCAACGATCCAAATCCTGCGTTGTTGACATTAATTACCAAAGAAATAATAACAAACATAATAATAGTACAAATCAAATGCCTTTAACCTCCTCATATAATACAACTCAGCCTTATAGTTTGTTATCCTCAACCTCATCAAATCATTCCTCTTGTGATAATTTTAAAATTTGTAGTGACGAAGAAGAAACTGTACCGCGTAGAGTTAGAAGACGCCGTCGTAAACGCCATTCAAGACATCACCCAGATTCGTCAAGACATTACAATAAATGCGGTGGCGGTAAATTTCTTTCTATCTGCTTTAAACAACATCTGTTTAACTCGCAAACTTCACTTTGTATTTCTGTTACACAATTTATTAAGAACTGTGCTCTTGTTACTGCTGTTACTGTTGGTGCTGCTGCTGCTGCTGCTTCTACTGCTGCTGCTATTACTTAACGCTGTTTTTTTTTTGGCAAAACAGTCTTTTAGTAGACTGCACTCTCAGTTACTGTTGTTAATAACACAAGGTTTACGCTACCAAAACGCAAACGCCAGGCAAAGCGCATTTAAATCAAGCTTATGTTATTGTTACTTGTTCTTAAATATGAAAACAAACAAATGCAAAAAATCTTTCATCTACAACATTAAACCTCATAACTTTGGATACTCTAACGTCAAAGTCTTTGTATATTTGTGTAACATTTTGTATTCTGTACATACTTACTTATTTACATCTAGCATATTTAACCATAATAACAACAATAACCGCTAATCACTAGAATTTTGAAAAAGCTAATGTTTGAAAGTATTTTGAAAGTTTTTCGTTTTTATATCAATCACTTATACTTTTGTTTTTTTTTTTTTTTTTTTTTTCTTTTTTTATTGTGAAAATATAAAATTAATTTCTTCTTCTTACTTTTAGAAACAGAAGAAACCGAGGAACAATTACTTTCACAATGGTTTACTTTGGTTAATAAGAAAAATGCTTTACTACGACGTCAAATGCAGTTAAATATTTTGTAAGTTTCTCATAAAATATTTTAACAAAATATTTAACAAATTTTTTTTTTTTTTTTTTTTTACTACTTACCGGCATAAGGGCTTTTCAATGAGAGTGAAACCGATAAAAATTTTTTTTCTTTTTTTATTTATTATTATTATTATTAATTTCGCCAGAGAAATAAATTCTAAGACTAAACTCTTAAAAGCACTAGCATCTAAGGCTATCGGCCTTTATTAAAAACTCTACCGCACTTGAGATTCGAACCCACGACCACTGAGTCGAGACTCTTGCCTACTCGGCCACCCAGGCGAATTTTTTTTTTTTTTTTTTTTTAACACCAAATGAGTTGAAGAAAAGCAATACATTTTTTTTCTGTGTATTTCGTATCGCCTGCGTCGCCATGCTGGCCGGCTCGTGCCGAATCCAGGAAACAAGCAATTTATTTGTACAGAACCCCTTCGGTATTCTGGACGATGAACGGGCCACAATCACTAAATAGTCTTTCATGATCAGCCGTTGAGTTAAAGACATATTTGTCACTTAGTGCATAATTTCCACCTTTTGTTTGACGTTGATTTGATATCCACTTTTAAAATTTTCAAACTTGACTTAGACAATTTTTTTACTTTCGCTTGACTTTGCAACTTAGTTTTGATAATCTTTGGCCTTGACTTGAACTTGAAGTTTCTGTTTTCATTTCACTATGTTTTATTTTAACTTGGACTTTGACAAGTTCGTAATATGGTTCTAATTTTGACGTACAATTTAATGCTTTTGAGTTTGAGTTTTATTTTAAGTTAGACTTTGACTGTTTTTTAAAAATGGTTTGACTTTGATTTGACTAAGTGACTTGGTCATCCTTCGATGACAAACTTTGACTAGAATGGATCGCGCCGACAACTTAAATAAGGCTCCCTCTTGACTTTGACTCCACAGCTTATTTTCTTGAATTATTTTCCAGAAGAAAATCGAGAATTTCTCATTCTTGTTCTTACTTTAAAATTAGTGTCGCCAACGCTGTCAGATTTCAACCGAAAAACAATTGCCAACCTCCGTCATAGGCGCCTAAATCTGATTTGACTTTAGATATTTACCAAGCCGTCGTCCCCTACGCGAATGTGTATTCGGAATGGCAGACGAATTTGGTTCCTTATAGTATTTTCGATACAATTAAGTTCTAAATGCAACATCTTTCCAATGGCAACTATGGTTATGCTTAACGTTTGGCTACTTCCTCTACTATATCGATCCTAATTTCATTAATAGCGCGTTCATGTTCACTTTGTTTTATTCCTATACACTAACGACCTCAAACATAATAAAGCAACAAGCAATCGAAAGGTATTCATTAAGCTTGTGACGCAATAGATCGATTGCTTGACGTTCTGTACAGTGGGGTTCATCATGTTGTCAAAAGTAGACATGTTTTCATTTAGGCAATAAAAAGTTCGTTATTCATTACTTATTAGTTGGCAATGAAAAATATGGACATTGCATTTGTTTATGTTTGCCCAGAAAAATCTTGGAAGGTTAAGGGAAGTTCTTAAAGGTTTTACGCCACCTCTACCAGTGGAGTTATATATAGCTTTCGTTTTGATTTGGACTGCTGTCAGAAGAGAGAAGATCACTAAAGCTCACTTCAATAAAACGCTAACCTTTCTCCAATTCAACTTGTATCTCTTCAATTGTGTTAAACCCTTCTCCCCGAAGTGTTATTTTGAGTTTATGAAATGATTAGAAGTCAAATGAGTACGGTCGTTGTAGAAAGGTATGGGTTAAATTTTTAACTAAATGGTCTCGAAGAGCCCATTGCAGAAATTGCAGTGTTTTTAGCATCAATCGAGATTTGACGCTTTTCATGTCAGCGTCACAGCGTCAGCAAGATGCCACTTATTCGACGGGACCCTCTTCGTCTTCAACCTTTTCTTCGCCTTGTTTGAACTGTTTACATCACTTGCAAACATTTCTCACCGATAAAGTCAAAGACTCTTTGCGGTATTCTTAATGTTTTTGCATAAGAAAATTCATTTCGCAAATAAAATTTTAAAAAAATCACAAACTGTAAGAATCGGTAAAAACTATTTTTGTATCGTATACAACAAAGGGCAGCTGAAGCACTAAGGGCCTTTGTGTTATGGGAACTAATCTCCGGCACAGTACAATCAATTTAGAAAAAAAAAGTATTTCTGATAGTCGATATAGCTGCGCAATTTAACTGGTCTTCATTTTTGATCACAGCACTATAACATCGAAATTAATCTTATAGTTGTCGGCAAATTTATGCATTTCTTACAACTAAGTAGTGAATGCTTTAAATCTCTTAGCTAGAATAGGTTGATGAGAGCATGATCTCTCCTTTAGTTGTTTTCAGTATGAATTGATGGGTACAATTGTTCTAGTCACAGTACAAATTCAAATCCGGATAAATTTTCCAAAATAATGAATTTTAAGCTTAGAGTGTTTATTTGCCTAATAAAGATAGTAAGAGAAAAAATGTTCAAAGGAAAAATCCGCAAAATTTGACAATTGCTAGCACGAGAAATTTCGTAAAAGTCATTGTCTAAGGGAAAGATAGTCAGTCTAAAGACGCATTCAAAATTTAGATGCAGTGTTGCTTGCATTCATCATAGATATCAGATGGGATTGCCTTGATTATTTTTATGTAAACCTTATCATGCGTGTGATTGCTCATGAGTCGTTGAATGTTTTACTCTCAAAGGTGTGGAAAAGACGAATCTTTTAAAAATGGCAATCATTTTTCTCCCGAGCGGTTTCATGATATTCATCCTTCCATTCTTGCAGGATGTTTTTCCGAATTAGGCAGAGAGCATTATTGGGAGGATAATTGATGGAAAGGATTGTACCATCACCCGCGTGCAAAATTAGCTTTTATATTTACACCGCAATCATATTATATCTATTTAAGTTTTATAATCAATAAAGATATCGTGTGAAATGTCTAATGGTTAGCATCTCATATTTATGAGTCGATAATATTATCTAGAAAAACAAATTTGATTTCCGATTTTCCGCTCGTTCACTTTTCGAGTTCAATTCGAAAATCATTTACGCGGAAAGTCCCTTCAATAGAGGAAATTTTCAGACAATTAGGTTTCGATTTTTTTGTGGAAGCAAAACGGGTCAAAACCATTTGGGTTCATTCATTCAAGTTCAATCAATTTTTTGGACAAAATATCAAGACGTTTACGTTTAATAGTTTGCGAATGGCTCTTGTCGTCGCTATAACATTACGATTTTTCAAAGATGTTTTCTAAAGGAAGAATCGTGCATGATTTGTTTACGAAGTAAAAGAAATATTTCGAATAAATCTCTTTTAAATTATTGCAGAGAACAAGAAAGTGATTTAGAACGTAAGTATACAATGTTAAATCAAGAATTGCGTGCCGCTCAGTCTGTGGAAGATTGGCGTAAAACTGAAGCTCAACGCGAAAAAGAACGTCTACTACTAGCGGAACTAGTAGCAATCGTTGATAAACGTAATGAACTGGTGCAACGTTTACATAATGAAGAAATTGCGTAAATAGAAATTAAAAAATTATATAATAATTTCTGTTTTATTAAAAAAAAATACTTTCCGTTCTTTTTTAGCATTGAAGATGATCATGAGATAGCTCGTGAACTGGAACAGGTGGATATTAGTGGTGGCAAAGAGAAATGTGTTATCCAGTAAACTGTTTTGGATGAAATGATATACAACGGAATTTAAGAGACTTCCATGACTGCTTTAAAAATTAATAACAACAAAATAAAATTTAAAAAAAAAAAGGAAAAACTTGGAACAGCAAACTTTGACATTATATTTATCCAATAAATTTACCATTTTTTCAAAAAAGAAAAAAAAATTAAGAGATATTGAGAAAAGAAGAAAGTAACTTTTTTTTTTTTTTTTTTTTGCTAAAATCCGTAAAATGTTGTATAATTAAAAACGGAAAAAAGAAAAAAAATGCCTGTGAGTGTTTAGCTTTAAATGGTAAATGGTTAAAAAAAAAAACTTAAGACGAAGACAAACATTTAAAAAAATCTTAAGATTTCACAAAGTAATTTATTCCAAATTAAAAAAACAATGAATTCAGAAAACTTCATTTGAAAAATACAAAAAATATACCCAAGCACGAGAATATATTTGCAAAAAAAAAAAAAACAAAAAAAAATATTTTGAAAGTATTTTCTAAAAAAAAAAAGTGAAACTTATTTTTCGGAAAAAAGTTATTTGGAAAGTGAAGAAAAAAATTTAATAAAATATAATCAATGAACAAATAAAACGAAAGATGTCGTATATTCGGCTTGACTCGAATGCAGTGACACCTACCATCTGTATTGGGAAATAATTTTTGCTGATGAGGCTTGTTTGCCCTGTCTGAATATAACTATCTATAAGAAATAGCCAGAAAATTTATCGGGTTACGCTAGAATTGATAAAATCCATTGGTTGTCTAGTTTTTTTTTTTTTTTCATACTAAATTATCTATTTTGGATGCTACCAAGGATTTATCATTCCTTCTATCACTTGAAGAATGTTAGTAATTTCAATAAATAAGACCAGGTGGACCGATTTAAATTTTATTTTTATTTCAATTTATATATAAATACATCCAATAGTTTATCCGAGGTATCTGTCAACTCTAATGCCTATATCTCATTCCACCACTATACCAGAATGTACTCAAAACGGATGTTTATTCAATCGCGGAACATTTTCTACAACCGATGAAAATAAAATTTTTAACCAAAGATTTACTTCAGATTTCGAAATTTATGGGGACATTGAAAATTTTATGAAAAGTATTTGGCTCTTTACAGTTAAAAAGCATTACCGAAATGAAATCTCTTGGGTTCTCTACCAAGTCTTTAACCAGTTAACTGCATTAATCTCTTTAGCGATATACTCGTATATTCGTTGTTGAGAAACGACTTGCCAAACATAATTTCTAAAGTACATATTTTTGTGTACAATTTTATGAGGAAATCCGACAAGGACAGATGGACGGATCAAAGCGTATATATTCGTCTTAAACAGTTAATGGGTTGAAGATGCTTGTAAAGTTAATTCAAAACATTTCTCCTTTTAAACGTCCCCAGACACTCATGACAGTGTCAATGATATAAAAAATACTATCCTGGGAAAGTCGAAATTTGCTAACAAGGTTAAGCACTTTTATTAACCATTCCCATATATTTCCATTTCAAGCAAGGAACTTTTTGCTGTCACAAAATCTAGGTATTATACAAACGGGCTTTCCAATAACTTGGGGAATTTCATATTCGTAATTTTGTGGCAGCATATTCCGAAGCTTGAATCACAAGTGACAGTTAAAATTGATGGAAAAATTCGAATAATTTTCGATTAATATATTCTTCTCCCATCCTATTGTTACATATCCTAATATACATTTGAAGTTCTGCGATTATGAACGGTATCTACGCAAAACCTATTTGTGTTGTTAAAATGGGACACAGGCTGAAATAAATTACGAAAAAAACGATTTGTTCTTTTCGGTTCCATAAAATGTTTAGTTGTTTATTTCCTTCCCTTCGCATTTTCCCTAAAAGTGTAATTTGCAGATGATAAACGAAATTAGTATATCCCTCAGATGGTTGGTATAAATAATTCCATGAATGAAAATAGAAAATCTTCAAATAAAAATGAAACGAAACGTCCGTTAGATTTTTAAGATATATCAGAAAAAAAAAAAAAAAAAAAAAAAAAAAAAAAAACAAAAATTTTTTAAAAAAATTAAAAAAAAACAAAAATGCAATAAAAGAAGATTTGGACAGTGCTTCACTCACGTCTCATTTTCGATAAATTGCACTTTTTACTTTCGGACCTGTATGTATAAGTCTTAAAAGCCTTTTTGATTTCTTCTTCTTTATTCTTCATTTTTTGACACTTTTTTTTGTGCTCAGATATTTGTTTTCCAAATCAAGACTTCTCGTTAAAGTCTCTAATAAACGCTATCTCTACTCGTTATTGTATAATTTTTTTTAAATGTTTCTCTTAATTAACTGAAATTTTGAATGTATGTGATTTTAATTTTAGTTGTATATTTATAATTTGTTTTTATTTTATTGTATTAAAGTATATAAAAATAGTATTACAAATTAATTTTACAAATTAAATACTTTATAGTCCGCGAAAGGTACTCTTTAGTTAATGTTAGATTTAAATGCTTTTTTTTTTTTATAATTTAATTGCAATAAAAAATCAACAAAAATTGATATAATTAATTAATTGAAAACTTATTTATATATAACACTTGAACATATAAATATGGTAAATATCATGCGAGACCGAAAAATTATATAACTGAAATGAAAAAAAAAAAACAACTGAAATTAAATAAAATTCAATATTCATTGTGGCATTTTTTCATTTGAATAATGTTAAGAATTGCAGAGTATTTAGGCTTAGGATCTCAATGGTCTATCGTTTCATATATAGAATCCAAAATAATTGGCTACAATAGTATCTTACAAGAAATTCGGCCCGTGACGAATGTAAATTTTTTTTTTTTTTTTTTTTTTTTTTTTTTTTTTTTTTTTTTTT